CACACACACACACACACACACACACACACACACACACACACATTTATATATATATATCTATATCTAGGTTTAAATCACCATTGCTCGTGTGTTCATGTGATTTTGTGCTTTTATTACATAAAAAATGTGCAAGTTCGAATCCAACACCCAATATCTATTTTTCTAATAAATCCAAATGAGCCTATTTCGAGCCGAACACAAGTTGAACACGAACAATAACACCCATTTCAGCTCATTTACAGCCCTAAGCTCGATAAATGCAGGGGAGCTAGACCGGAGTATTTTCATGAACACCGACGAGCTCAATGGAGGAGTTTTGCCGAGTCCATTTGAGACCCTAACACTATGACAATAATTTAGACAGACGTGGCCGACGAGTATAATTTGCTTGTATCTATCCTCTAACTCCGTGGTAATTGAGCTTGATCCATTAGGCCCAGCCGACCCATCTAGTATTCGGGCTTCTCCGATAGCTTCTAAAGTTCACTTTTGTACGCACGATAAACTAATAATTATCATGAATTTTCAGACATAGTATTTAAACAAATAAATATATCATGAAGCTAGTGGAAGATATAAAACTTGTTACAAATTGACCAATTTGTTCAACTAGCTTATATATTTAAAATTAGATTCTATTTTAGATATTTAGGCTAGATGCCATTTCCAAAATTTGCCTTTATTTCAACATATGCCATATTCTATCATATTGGAGCTCACAGAGCATCTCTTTGTGCTTATAAATATATTATCTCTCTACTTCCCTTTCATTTATTCTTCCAACTTCATTCAGTACTCTTGTTTCGCTGCAGAGAGCCCGGATTTGCTTGTCCCTTCAAGTGAAACTTCAGATTGTGTTGGTAAGCCTTGTCTGTGTCTTATATTTTTTTTCATATGCCCGACCAGCCGTACATAGATCTTGAACTTTTAAAATATTACGTCTGTCGTCTGAACGTACGGTGAAGACATTGATCACACCACGCCGTCATACAATCCACACTATCAACCGGACGCCTGGTAAACTGGACGACGTAACGCTAACTCGCCGTCCTCTTCAATCATTTCAGGCATGAATCATAAATCATTGCTTTTGGTGACAATAAAATCTACAGGTTTCATGTGCTGCAGCCATTGAACAGCTTTAATATACTGTATTAAACTATAGGAGTTTTTAATTTTTTTTAATTTTGATTGGGTGAAGTGGGAAGGAGAAGAGATGGGGAGAGGAAGACGACGAGCGGCCGCTCTGCAGTATGGATAGGGGGGATCTTAATTGCATTATTCCTTTCATTATCGTGTAAATTTTACACATTTTATATCTCCATTGCATGTTGTCTCGCTTGGAGTTCGCATGCATGCAGACTTTAGCACGGTTCAGGGCTGTAAATGAGCCGAGCTTGAGTGAGTCAGGTTTGGCTTGTGTTCGGCTCGTTCAAAATTGCTCGAGTTTGAAATCGGCTCGCATTCAAAACTGGCTCGTGAATAGTGTGTTTGTGTTCTGCTCGAAAATTGGCTCGTTAAAAAAAATTTAGATACAAATATATAATATACTATTATATAAATAATATATACAATATATTATTATATAAATAATTATATGAATTTTTTATTTCGAGTTAAAACAAGCTGAACACATGTGAACAAAGAGCTGTCGTGTTTGACTCCTTTACTTAACGAACGAACTGCATACGAGCACGAGATTTTTTGACAGCCCAAACATAATTATCCTCGTGATTTGTCCTGCGGAATGCAAACTTGTATACATACTTGCAAACTCTGCATCTAATATTGGAAGCTATTTTTAATAAATTTGAATATTTTGATGCATCAAGCTTATTCTATATAAACGCATGACATTTGGCTCATTTTGGCTGCAATCCCATTTAACATTGAATTCATTTAACATTGAATTATATATATATATCTA